ATCACCGATTTAGTGTTGGATATTATTTCCTTATTTTTTTTGTTCATTGGGACAACACAACATGAATCAATACCATCAATTTTCAATGGGACAACACATCATGAATCGCTCCCATCAATTTTTGGGATATTTGTTTCCGTACTAGTGAATCAATACCATAATATATTTATTTTTTAGTCAAATGCTAAGATATTAAGGATAGAGGTTGCCTGCTGTGCCCCCTTCTTGCTGTTTCTACTGTGTCGTAAAACGGCACAATTTCACCATTTTTTTTTTTCTTATCTCATGTTGCCACTATGTTTTTTTTAAACTCTAAAATATAAAAAAAAAAATTATGAATTAAACCTAAACTCTAAACTCTAAATCCTAAAATAAAAAAAATAAATTTTAAAAATTAAACCCTAAATCCTAAATCCTAAAATAAAAAAATAAAAAAATTTTAAGAATTAAACCCTAGACTTTTCTTGTATTATGTGTAGAAAAAGTAGAGAGGAAATGTTGATTGATGTGACCTAAAAAAGATAAAAAGATGAAATAAGTGCACTTTTTTAGTTTAGCCAAACTTGACCTTATTTTTTAATCAAATGCTAAGATATTAAGGATAGAGGGTCCCTGCTGTGCCCCCTTCTTGCTGTTTCTGCTGTGTCGTAAAACGGCACAATTTCACCATTTTTTTTTTCTTCTCTCATGTTGCCACTATGTTTTTTTTAAACTCTAAAATATAAAAAAAAAAAATTTAAGAATTAAACCTAAACTCTAAACTCTAAATCTTAAAATAAAAAAATAAATTTTAAAAATTAAACCCTAAATCCTGAAATAAAAAAATAAAAAAAATTTAAGAATTAAACCCTAAAATAAAAAAAAATTAAAATTAAACCTAAAGTCTAAAATAAAAAAAATTAAAAATTAAACCTAAACCCTAAACCCTAAAATAAAAAATAAATAAATTTTAAGAATTAAATCCTAAATCTTAAACCCTAAAAATAAGAAAAAAAATAAATTTTAAAAATTAAACCCTAACCCCTAAACCCTAAAATTAAAAAAAAAAAAATTAAGAATTAAACCCTAAACCCTAAAATAAAAAAAAATAAATTTTATCCCTAAACCCTAAAATAAAAAAATTAAATTTTAAAAATTAAATCCTAAACCTTAAAATAAAAAACATAAATTTTAAGGGAAAAAAAAAAAGAAACTGTGCCATTTTACGGCACAGCAGCAACACAGCAGGGAGGGGGCACAGCAGTGACCCCGCTCCCAGATATTAATGGGAGAATTTTATTATACACACCTATCTACCATATGTATATTTAGTTATGTCATTTTCTTCTTTAGTTTTGACTAATTTTTTTCTTTCGTTTATAACATTATTTTGAGATATTTGATTATGATTTTTTTGTGTTTGATTATGACTTCTTTTTTTTAGTTATGACTCAAAAATTATAAAATTATGTCATTTTTTTTTGGAGTTGTAAGTTGCATATAGTACACACCTTTTATCTTTCTTGTATTAACGAGTTAGTAAAGTTTACCAGAAATGTTAGCAATATAGATGATCAAATATAAAAAATAGACACAGATGTTTCACAAAAGGCAGGTCGTACATATAAGTACCACATTAAGTGAGCCCACCTTTATAAGACACTAACGGGTGGCACACGCGATGTGTGTGCAATTTAGATAACTAATAATAAAAATAAATAATAAATAATATAGTATTATAATATGTATGTTACTTAAGTAATAAACATGTTCTTAATTAAGCCCAAGGTCTTGGATTTAAAATTTATTTACGTTGTGTAAAATAATATTTTTTTATTTTAGCATATATAAAAGTTGCCATGTGGCATGAGGAAAAGAACACTTTACTAAACCAATTTAGATATTCACTTAACAATAGTATAGAAGATAATATTATAGATTTGTGTCCAATTTGTCTTTTAGACTTTCTCTAAGTCAAATTATCAAATAGGTTGACACCATCCTATTCTATTGACTCGAACTTAAAATCTTATCTAAATGGTGTTCATGCTCGATCACTTGAGTTATATCTCGAATCAAATACTGTTAAAATTTCCTCTATTCATATAGGTTATGATGTGCTCTATATGTAAGTTATGATATTTATGGAGTTGATTTCTATAAATATCATAATAGAATTCTTTAGGGCCATAATTAAAAAAAATAAAAAATCATAACTAAACATCACATAAAATATAACCAAAGTCATTTTTTAATAATAACTAAAATAATATCATAGTCAGTATCACAATGAATCATAACTAATATCATAATATATATAACAAAATCATAATTAATATCACAATATGTTATAACCAAATATTATAATTAGAGGATATGATATACAGTCTAAAAAAAAATTGTGTATAGTAGGATTTTCCTATTCACAGAGTCACAAAAAATTAGTTTCATTTGGTAGTTTCAACCTAACCTTTGCCACCACTTTTTATCGGTGGCAACAATTACCTTCAGGCATCACAGCTAGTGGTCAACAACCAATCACTTTTGCCTTTTATCTCCGATTATTGGCAATTTTTTTTTAGCCACCACCTCTTAGTAGAAATCACTTTTTCCATCCAGCAACCATCTCCGATCATCATCAATCACCTTCGATCATTCCTTACGGTTAATTATCTCTGTTACTTATTTTTAAAATAAAACTTTAAAACTTATGTATGCTATACATTTTTTTAAAAATTTTACTAAAAATAAAACTTAAAACTTGTTTAATATTATATATTTATACACAAATTATTAAGTGTAAAATACCAATAAAGTTGAAAATGTGATCTTGTAAACTGTTTAATCATTCCTTTTTTCTTATGAATTCAAAAGTCCTATTAAAGTGAAAATTAAACAAAATGATAGTCACTTACATGTTTGGGTTTAATTTTCTACGGATAAAAGTGGATTTCTCTCTATATAAAATTACATATTTGGACAATTCGCATTATAGAGGCTTTGAATTTGTAGAACAAATCTCACATTACGAAAAAAAAATATAACACTCTAATAATGTAGCACTCTAATGTAACATTAACGTAACATCCAATATAAAATACAAAAAAGCTCTTTGGTGCATATTTTCCAAACGTAACGACGTAACACTCCAAAAAAACCCATTAGTGTATTTTTTTCTAAACGTAACACTCCAATATAACACACATACAGAAAAAAATCTTTAGTATATATTTTTTTTCCAAACGTAACACTTCAATCAATGTAACACACAAAAAAAACTGTTTAATGTACTTTTTCTAAACGTAACACTTCAATCAATGTAATCTCAAATGTTGCATTCCAATGTAATACATAAAAATACAAAAAAAAATTCCTTAATGTAATTTTTTATAACATAACACTCACAATTTGAAATTATATATTTGCTCAAAACTTACTAAGGAATTTTTGTACTCCTTTTGAAATGGTTTGAAGAATCCCACATCATTTTGGAATGGTTTAAAGAATCTTATAATCTTTTTTTTAGAGTGTTACATTGGAATGTTATATTTGGAAAAAGAATACCAATGAGTTTTTTTTGTGCGTTACATTGGAATGTTACACTAAAATTTTTTTTGGAGTGTTTTATTAGAGTGTTACATTTGGAAAAAAAGTACACTAAGAATTTTTTTCGAGTGTTATATTAGAGTGCTACGTGTGCTACGTTTGAATGTTATATGAGAGTGTTATAGTTTGAAATTATACATTTGCCCAAATTTACTAACATTGTGTTCGGTTGGGGGATTTGGAGAAGGATTTGGAAAGGGAAATGGAAAGGAAAAGGAAAAGGTGTATGAAACTAGGTGAATATGTTTTATTCACATTTCACCTACCTTTTTCATTTTCCTTTCCAAATCTATCATAAAATTCTCCAACCAAACACAGCATAAGAGATTTTTGTACTTTTTTTAAAATGTTTGAAGAATCCCACATCCTTTTGGAATGTTTGAAGGATCTCATATTTCAAGTCATTTTTGTACTTCTTTTGAAATGTTTTCCAAATAAAAAAGATTCTCATATAGAAATTCATCCAAAATTTGATTCTTATAAATTGTGTACACTACCTTTTTAGCAAAAAAAAAAAAAAAAAGAACGAAACATAATAAGGGTATAATTATAAATTTAATTTCTAAGTAATATATTAAATCTACATTTTCAAAATCAATGTAACTAATTGGTTTATAAAAAAAAATTTAAAACTAAATGAATTATCTTCCTTCAAAATGAGATTTATAGATAAAATTTTCAATTATTAAAATTCAAATATATAATTTGTGATATAAAATTTTTTGTTATGTAGGCTTGTTTAGTTTGTATTTGAGAAACATGCTTAGAGATAAAAAGTACGAAAATTTGTTTTGTTTGGTTTTTTTTCAAAAGATGTTTTGAAAAATTATTTTGAGAGAAAGTTTTGAAAAAAGTGATTGATTTGATGGGTATGAGAGAGAGATTTGTTTGAAAAAGCATCTCCAACGGTAGTAGGCATTTTACCTATCTGAATATTACTATAAAGTATATATTTTATTTTACCTATCAACTGTTTTATGTTTTTACTCCAACCATGCTCTTTATTTTAGCTATTTATCCAAATACTATTAATTTTATAGAATGCCACGTCAATAATAAAGATGGAGGGAAATGATCCTAATGATTGAATACATTTTGCCTAGCGTTGAAGGCTAGCTACATGTAGCTAGTGAATATGAGTTGAGGCAAAATGCCTAATCATATGCCTAGTGCATTGGAATTGAAAAAAGTGAATCACATTAAGCATTTTAACTAACAAGTATTATATGCCTAGTGCATTGGAGATGCTCTAAACCAAACAAGTTTTGAAAAAAAAATTTGAAAAAATTTGTTTGATCTGATTACTTTTAAAAATTTATTTGTAAAAAATTTTTCTCAAAATTTTTTAAGAAATACAAACCAAACAAGAGCTATGATGCGAAAGTTAGAGACTTTTCCAATGGGGAGACTGGTTTAGTTTCAAAAACAGTTGCAAAAAAACAATAATGGATGAGAAAGCAAAACCAAAGACCCAAAAATTAAACAGTGGGGCTTAAATTCCACAGGACTAATTCCTATCAAACCCACCAATCTTGCCAAGAAAACCAAATTCTTTCTCTTCTGAAAAATCTCTCTCTCTCTCTCTCGCTCTCTAGCAGTTTCAAATCTCTTTTTCACATATACAGAAACTCATAGATATATACTCTCAGAAAAATCGATCACGAAACTCGTGAAGCAGTTCAAAACTCGTTAGCTAAACTGGGACAAGTAGTTTTCTCGTGATTCCCAACTTTTTATCTCTGCCCACCACCAGATCCTCTGCTCTTGAAGTTTCTCTCTCCCTCCCTGCTTCAGGTGCACTCTCTTTCTCTCTCTAAACATATAGATGTATATATTTCTGTGTTTCAACAATTGGGTGTTTGTAATTTGTGTTAGTTTCTTTGAATTTCAACAAATGGGTAAGTTGATTTGTCATTTTTAGCTAGCTTCGTATTTGGGTAAGTGTTTTTTTAAAGTTATATATACATTATCTTTGGATGTAAGCAATTCAATTGGTGGTATTAACTAGAATACTGGAGATGCGGATGCTTATTTTCGATGAAGTTAGTTTGATTTTGTGGAGGGTCAAAAGGTGTACACACGGTGGCTTGGTTTTGGAGGTACCCATTTGGGGAATTGAATTGGGGGTGTTGAATTTGTGCTTGATATATGCTAGAGAAGTGCAATTGTCAAAAGGGTAGCACATGGTTTGTTGCTTTCTTGCTCGATTGCCGAGTCGCTTGTGGAGGGTATTGAGGGTGGAATTGCATGTGATTTGGTGGCCGTCGAATTAATCCATTGAAATCTAAAGGTTTGCTACTTTATGAGTTTGAGTATGATAGTTGATAAAGGCATTGCTTTGGGCTTTTGAGTTTTACACATCTGATCTGGTTTGTAAGATGAATTGAGAAGGTGAGAGAGGGATTGGGATAATATTGGGTCATCTGAGTCTAATTTCACAGGCACTGAATGTGTTTTTTATGTGAAGGAAAGAAAAGGAAGAAGGTAAGGAATTCACAGGCTCCAAAGGTGGATTTCATCATGACGTTAGCTTTCTGACGCAATTGCACTTTGTGATCTGTCATTTGATGCTATCATGGGCTTGATGATTCCGAAAGATTTATTTTCTTATTGAATATTTTACATTTTGTGGTTGAGCTTCCATTACGAATTTGTCATAATTCTTAATCTTTTGTACTGGTCTTTGTTATAGATATTACTTTATTGTATCTTTACTTCAATTTTTAATATGGTTTCAATAATTAGCATATTTCTTGTTTCAGGTCTTGTCTTTCTTCCCTGAGGCCCTTTCCTCTTTTCTGAAGGAGTGGTCCCTCTCAATCTGCTGCTTAATGCCAAGCAGCTCTTTGAGCTTCTTATTGTAGTGCATATAGATTCAGATGACTCTAAATAAAATGGGAAGCCCTGGACGCAGGTTTGGAATTTTGGGAGATTTCTATTGTTTATTTGTGTTAATGTTATTGATGTTTACATGACAGTATATCCTCTTGTTGGATGCAGTGGAGTTGTTAGAAAACCAAATGAGAGCATGAGGCTTATTGTAACAACTTTTATTGGAATTGTTTTTGGCTTCTTAATAGGAGTATCATTTCCGGCATTTACATTAACGAAGGTGCACAATATATGCTCTTTTTTTCTTTGTCCAATTATTATCCCTTTTTCCTCATTCTTTCTCTCCATGTACATCTCCTTGTTAATTTTCTCTTTTATTCACATTCCATAATGACATATTTTTTCCGTCTTTCAATTATGTCCAAATTTGGCAGCTGAATCTCCCATCCAACCTTTTTCCTTACGTTGAGGATAAAAATTCAGGCCTGTCAACCCAAGCATTTTTGAATGCTTGGTCTACTTTGAAGGGTAATGAAAACAACTCTTCTGAAGCTAAAAACTTGAACAATACATCGAAGGTATATTTCGTTTCCTTGTTCTTGCATTACATATCTTTTGGCTGATTGTTTCTGGGGAAAGAACTAGAAAGGCACTTGTTGTGGTTAATTAGTTAAATATTTTCTGCTTAAGTATGCTGTATTGCTTTTTTATGAAGCAAATCCTTAGTTTTCCTTTCTTTAGGTTGGCAGCCTGGAAAATGTAGCAATACAGGTGGTGCTGATAAGTTAGAAAGTGCACAGCCAAATATTAGGCAACATCGAAGTATTTGGAAACAAAAAATGTATTTAGAAACCATTCTAAGTCATGGGCTAAAAAGAAAACTGAATCTAAGCTAGAGTTTTGGTTTATAATTCACCATTTCTGTAACAGTATTTGAGACCTTGAACTCATAGATGCTGTTTTGAGAGATTGTATTTTGTTGAATTCCTTGACCTTTCCTATTAGCTCTGTATTTCTTACTAAAATGTGATCATGTAATCGAACATTACTCAAAACATTAGTGTGCTTGTGTGTATTATAAAATGAGAATGCGGTATGCTATCCACTTCCTAACATTAGAAGTACAAAGATGTTGTATGCTACTGTGGGGAGATTTTAAAATTAATGTCCCATTATCATAATAATATCCTGAAGAGATAAACTGTTACATCCATCTTTGACATCGCCTTCTTCCCTATGATTTCAATGCAGATTTGGGTCCCATCTAATCCACGAGGTGCAGAAAGATTACCCCCAGGCATTGTTGCAGCGAAGTCAGACTTCTATCTCCGCAGATTGTGGGGTATTCCCAAAGAGGTGTGTTTCTTTTGTCACAACCTTTATCTTCATTTAGGGGATATTTCTCCTCGCATGATGGAATTATAAACAGATACAAATCTTTTCATTTGGATCTACAAATTTTTCCAGTGACCTTAATTGTGATGAGAACACTTGAAATAACTTTGTGGGCCACTAAAGAGAGAGAATAGTAATGTTTAAACATAATACTATATTGGTTATATAAAACAATGATTAGATATATACAGGGAACATGAAGGAATGCGATCATGAATAATGTTAGTTCTGTAGTTTAGTCACAGACACTAATCTATTATGTCTTTTTCAATTGATTCTCTCATATTTAACTTCTGATGATTAAATTTTAGGACTTGATAAGTTTTTATTTAATTTGAGGGGTTTGATCATGTTGCCTTTTGCAGGACATAACTGTCAAACAAAAGTATCTTGTAACGTTCACTGTTGGTTATAAACAGAAAAATAATATTGATGCAGCAGTCAAAAAGGTCAACTTTCACTCCCTTACCTTCACTCTCTCTCTCTCTCTTTCTCTCTCTGCGCCACTGAATTTGTTTTTCCTACAGTTCTCGGAGAACTTTACAATACTTCTTTTTCATTATGATGGTCGAACAACCGAGTGGGATGAGTTTGAGTGGTCAAAGCGAGCTATTCATGTGAGTGCTCGAAAGCAAACAAAATGGTATGGAATTACTGAAATTCATATATAACTACTTTATGTCTTTCCATTTCTCTCTATATCATTACTTATCTACTATGCTACTTGAAATTTTGAAGGTGGTATGCAAAACGATTTCTGCATCCGGATATTGTGGCTGCATATGATTACATATTTGTCTGGGATGAAGACCTTGGAGTTGAGCATTTTAACGCCGAAGAGTGAGTATTAAACACAAAATCTCATGTTTATGACATTTTTGAATCGCCTTGCTCAAAATCTCCTTGTGTCCTTTGTTTGTTCAATTCCAGATACATAAAACTTGTTCGGAAGCATGGCTTGGAGATTTCGCAGCCTGGTTTAGAGCCTAACAAAGGGCTGACATGGCAGATGACGAAGAGAAGAGGTGATCGTGAAGTTCACAAGTAAGAATGATGGGAATGTTGTTATGCACCATTAAGCTCGTGTTACTTCAGATAGTTTTTTCAATGATGAAATGACCCTTTTCTCCTTGGTTTGTTTGTTTCCCATTTTCTAACCAGAGAAACAGAGGAGAGACCAGGCTGGTGTAGTGACCCACACTTGCCTCCTTGTGCAGCGTATGAATATTTATTATTTCATCGTTCGTTCTGTCGCTTCTTCCTTTTATTCCAGCAGGATCTGCAAATAAACACACTTTTTTTCATGTGTTTTTGATTTCAGATTTGTTGAGATCATGGCTCCAGTGTTTTCTCGAGAAGCATGGCGCTGTGTGTGGCATTTGATTCAGGTATGCAGTTATATTATGGTTTGCGTCATCACCTTGTTTGGTTGTGGTATCAAATTTTAGTCAAATTTCATATTTTAGTCTAAAACAAAATTATGCATGAAAAAATCTGAAAAAACGTTCACTAAACATAAAAAATACTAAAACGTGTTGGCTTTTTTTGACTTTTTTTGTCCTCAGTGATTGTTATTTTTTACTAGATACTCTACTTTTTAGATGCATCTAACACAAAATTGACTAAAATATGAAATAATTCGTTATAGATTTAAATTAAAAAAAACACGAAAAACAAGAAATCAGTAAACAGTACTTGACAACTAAATGTTAAATATCTTATTGTCGGCATTGTAGAATGACTTGGTCCATGGATGGGGTCTGGACTTTGCCCTCCGAAGATGTGTTGAGGTTAGTAACTGTCTTTCATCCTCTTTGCGTTCTATCTTCTTTGATTATTCACTCGTTAATTGGTATGGTAAAACAATAACATCCATCCAAGGCATGATGAGTATGTTTCTCCTCTTCAAACCAGCCTGCTCATGAGAAAATTGGAGTCGTAGATGCTCAGTGGATAGATCATCAAACTGTTCCATCACTCGGGAATGAGGTAAAGAGAAAGCTTTGGTCAAAGTTGTGAAAGCACACACATGCACGTATGTGTGGATACACACACATGTATATATAGATGATCAGACATAATACCGAGTAACCTGTTATCTTTTGGCAGGGCGAAATAGTGGAAGGGAAGGCACCATGGCAAGGGGTATGCACTATACAAAGCTGTCAATATTACAACCCCACCTGCCCCCCCCTCTTCTCTCTGCCTCTCTATCTCTCTATCATACTGACTTTAGTCATGAAGTTTGTCTCAGATTTGGTCCTTTTAGCATAAATGCAGTTTTGATCATTGTTTCAATAATTTGTTCATGACAGGTGAGGGAGAGGTGTAGAAGAGAGTGGAAGATGTTTCAGGATCGGGTTGCAAATGCAGAAAAAGCTTACAACAAATCAATTGGAATCGATCTGCCAAAGTCTACAGCTAGCTAAGGGGAGAATGAACAATGTTGACAGAAGTGGACTTGGGTACAACCATCACCGTTACGATGCTTGGGGCTTTAGTGCTAGATTTGTATAATTAATTATTCAATAATTGTAGAGATGATTATCAATAATAACCATTTTTACAGCCGTAATCGAAAACATCTGTTGAAATTCTTTTAAAGGATCACAGGTAGTTCCTAGAGCAAAGGATGCATAAGCAGAGCAACAACTGAAATCCATTTGTTGTTGCAGATGAGAATGCAGAGTGGTGTAACATTTTCGGGTATATGATATGATTGGTAATATGATTGTTCCAAATAGGTTGAATTAAAATTGTTGTTGAACTAAGATGAATGATCCGATATAGCTATCTTCTTTTTTAAAACATGCTCTTTTTTTTTTTTTTTTTTTTCAAAATTCCAATGTTGACCGCTGAAAACTAGAATGGGTCATGCATGATTTGTGGGCGTAATTCTTCGGTGAGTTTGGCGCATAGCAACTCTATGCTATGGTTGAAGTGTACCTAATTACATTTAAGGCTAATGCTGTTGTGAAACCAATTTTCGACTAATTAAAACATTAAAAGATGGCTTAATTGGTCAAAAAGTCCATTCCTATGAGGCAATATATCATTTAGGGTTGTTTTGGGGAGTGCCAAAAAAATTGATTTTTTTGTTTATTACAAAAAGACACTCAAAAAAGTAAAGAGGTGATATGATTCAAATAAATTAAAAAATAAGTTTTTTTTGCACTTTTCAAAAGAGGCTTATGGTTTAATCTTTTTTGATGATAAAGAGACGCGTTGAAAAGTCATTGGCAGTGGAGGCCAACTAATGACATTATGATAGACATATAAGTGATATTGAATAGATATGTGAATGGATAGGTATACAGATAGTTGGACATTTAAACAAATAGTTAGACAAATAGTGACATGCATACAAATAGTGGGACACTTGAACAAATATTGCAACATTTGAACATATAGCTGTATAAATTGGTGACACGTATACAAGATAGGTAGGTAAAATTTAATCAGATATGTGTATTTTTGGACCAATAATATTCTTTTGATCCAAAAAATTTTAAGTTTTGACTTCTTAACCCAAAAGTTTCTGAAATATAGTGTATGCTGGAATGTATTACAACAAAACAATTAGTCATTGAATATCAGTGTATTGTTGGGATGTATAGCATGATGAACTCAGGTTGTGGCAGTTGCCTTGCAATATGAGCCCTATATAGGTTTGAGTTTTTCTTAAATTTAAATATGAATTTGAGAGGATTTAAAAAGTTTGTAGGGTTTATCACAGGGGTGATTTAATAATTTGAATCGTTTATTTTGTAAGGTTCTATATGTATATAATTAATAAAAAAATTTAGCCGATTCGATAATCACAATTATTTCATTTTATCATATTTGTCTCTAGAAAATAAATGACAATTATGTTTTAAAAAATAGACTATTTATTTTTTTAGACACAAATACAATAAAATAAAAAGTTACAATTATTAGATCGATTTAATTTTTCCATAAATTTTATACATATAAAATTTTATAAAATGAATGATTCGAATAATCGAAACTGGATTCATCCTAAATCTCATGAATTCGTAAAATCCTTTTAAAAGTCATATTTCAATTTGACAAAATCCTAATTTCTTATTAGGAAAATATTTTGGTGCACACTCTTCAAAGGGTATATATCATATATGCACCTTATAACTAAATTTTTTTTTATATAATTTCAAAATTTTGAGTCACAACTATAAAAATAAAAATTTTTAAATTTTTTTTTCATAACTAAACACAACATAAGGTATAATTAAAGAACTCATGAATCATAATTAAAATAATATTATAACTATCGAATAATCGAAACTGGATTCATCCTAAATCTCATGAATTCGTAAAATCCTTTTAAAAGTCATATTTCAATTTGACAAAATCCTAATTTCTTATTAGGAAAATATTTTGGTGCACACTCTTCAAAGGGTATTTATCATATATGCACCTTATAACTAAATTTTTTTTTATATAATTTCAAAATTTTGAGTCACAACTATAAAAATAAAATTTTTTAAATTTTTCTTTCATAACTAAACACAACATAAAGTATAATTAAAGAACTCATGAATCATAATTAAAATAATATTATAAATAAAAAAAAATCGTAATTAAAAAATAAAATAATATAATTAGAGGTATATATAAAACACATTTTTTAAAGGGGTGTATATTAAAATTTTTCTTTTATTAATTTGCTAGCAGAGTACCTACACCGCTGTGTTTGGTTAGGGGATTTAGGAAGGGATTTAAAAAGGGAAAGGGAAATGTATGTGAAATGTGAATAAAATATGCTTACATTTCAGCTAGTTTTACACATTTTTTTCCTTTCCTTTACACTTTTTAATTCTCTTATCAAATCTCTCAACCAAACACAACATAAGAAATGTGTCCCAAAAATAGAAATTTTTTCATTTAAAAAAGTCAAAATGTGTCAGGTTGTCTCACAATAATATAAAGAAGAGTTAATTGCTTAAAAATTCTATTTACAAATGTTGTAGTAACTTAGGTCTTATCTAATATTTTTGAATCAATAAGTCTTATTTAGTAAAATTAAAAATGTTATCAGTTTTTTTTAATTTTTAAAACTAAAAATATTATCAATTTTGCATAATAATGTTCCAAATAATTGTTTCAATAACTGATAATAAAAAAACAGAGCATGAGATTAAACGTTTTTGCCTTTCTACTTGTTGGTTTGAGTCAACGATCCAACAAAACCGAGAACATTATTAATTTTTTTTCAATTTTAAAACTGAGAACATTATCAATTTTTTCATTTTAATTTTTTTTTCCCAGTTTTGCACATCAATGTTCCATCATCATAGTCCTTTATAGATACAAAATTTTCAGTTTTGCATAAAAAAAAATTCAACTTTTTCAATTTTTTCAAAAAAAAATATTTTTTTTTTGCACATTTTTTTTTCTTTAGTTTTTTCAATTTGAAAGTTGATTTTTAAAATTTTAAAAATTAAAATAATTGTCAAATCCTCATGTTCCTTTATAAATATGTATAAATGATAAACAATCATTATTTGAAAAGTAATTTTGACTATTAAAAATTGGGTAAATTACATTGACACCCCTTGAGGTTTGATTCAATTACTACCCACTCCCTGACGTTTTAAAAATTATATTCCCATCCCTGTGGTTAATAGTCTCATTTCAAAAATCTCCCTGCTTATATAAAAGGTAACAACTCCTAGTAGAAAAACAAAGGAAATTACATTAAAAAAACAAGTAAAGGAAAGGGGAAAAAAAAGATAAAGTAAAGCAAAGCCAAAAAAAAAAAGAGAGTGCATGAGTTTAATGTCTTCATTTCCTCTAAATAATTACAATGACGGGGGGTTAATGTAATTTTCCAAACGTCAAAGGGTGATATGTATTAAACCCAAATTTCAGGGAGTGTAAATGTAATTTATCCATAAAAATTTAATGAGACTTGAATGTGAAAAAGGCCTAAAACCTACCTATTTTATTTATTTACACAATTTTTAATTTTTCCATAAATTTTATACATATAAAATTTTATAAAATGAATGATTCGAATAATCGAAACTGGATTCATCCTAAATCTCATGAATTCGTAAAATCCTTTTAAAAGTCATATTTCAATTTGACAAAATCCTAATTTCTTATTAGGAAAATATTTTGGTGCACACTCTTCAAAGGGTATTTATCATATATGCACCTTATAACTAAATTTTTTTTTATATAATTTCAAAATTTTGAGTCACAACTATAAAAATAAAATTTTTTAAATTTTTCTTTCATAACTAAACACAACATAAAGTATAATTAAAGAACTCATGAATCATAATTAAAATAATATTATAAATAAAAAAAAATCGTAATTAAAAAATAAAATAATATAATTAGAGGTATATATAAAACACATTTTTTAAAGGGGTGTATATTAAAATTTTTCTTTTATTAATTTGCTAGCAGAGTACCTACACCGCTGTGTTTGGTTAGGGGATTTAGGAAGGGATTTAAAAAGGGAAAGGGAAATGTATGTGAAATGTGAATAAAATATGCTTACATTTCAGCTAGTTTTACACATTTTTTTCCTTTCCTTTACACTTTTTAATTCTCTTATCAAATCTCTCAACCAAACACAACATAAGAAATGTGTCCCAAAAATAGAAATTTTTTCATTTAAAAAAGTCAAAATGTGTCAGGTTGTCTCACAATAATATAAAGAAGAGTTAATTGCTTAAAAATTCTATTTACAAATGTTGTAGTAGCTTAGGTCTTATCTAATATTTTTGAATCAATAAGTCTTATTTAGTAAAATTAAAAATGTTATCAGTTTTTTTTAATTTTTAAAACTAAAAATATTATCAATTTTGCATAATAATGTTCCAGATAATTGTTTCAATAACTGATAATAAAAAAACAGAGCATGAGATTAAACGTTTTTGCCTTTCTACTTGTTGGTTTGAGTCAACGATCCAATAAAACCGAGAACATTATCAATTTTTTTTCAATTTTAAAACTGAGAACATTATCAATTTTTTCATTTTAATTTTTTTTCCCAGTTTTGTACATCAATGTTCCATCATCATAGTCCTTTATAGATACAAATTTTTCAGTTTTGCATAAAAAAAATTCAACTTTTTCAATTTTTTCAAAAAAAATATTTTTTTTTTGCACATTTTTTTTTTCTTTAGTTTTTTTCAATTTGAAAGTTGATTTTTAAAATTTTGAAAATTAAAATAAATGTCAAATCCTCATGTTCCTTTATAAATATGTATAAATGATAAACAATCATTATTTGAAAAGTAATTTTGACTATTAAAAATTGGGTAAGTTACATTGACACCCCTTGAGGTTTGATTCAATTACTACCCACCCCCTGACGTTTTAAAAATTATATTCCCACCCCTGTGGTTAATAGTCTCATTTCAAAAATCCCCCTGCTTATATAAAAGGTAACAACTCCTAGTAGAAAAACAAAGGAAAAGGGGAAAAAAAAGATAAAGTAAAGCAAAGCAAAAAAAAAGAGAGAGTGCATGAGTTCAATGTCTTCATTTCCTCTAAATAATTACAATGACGAGGGTTAATGTAATTTTCCAAACGTCAAAGGGTGATATGTATTAAACCCAAATTTCAGGGGGTGTAAATGTAATTTATCCATAAAAATTTAATGAGACTTGAATGTGAAAAAGGCCTAAAACCTACCTATTTTATTTATTTACACAATTTTTTTCCCTCACAATTCTTCTAAAAACACTTCAACTTTTCAAATTATGTTTGCCATCTCATTAAAAAAATTATA